AAGCAGGTTGGCAGGGAGAGCTTGCCCTTCCCTGAAATCGGACGCATAAAACCGAAGTTTGAAGCCCAAAAGTTGTGCAGCGACACGATTCCCTTGGGGGGGGAGCGTACGGGTGGCCGTGATCCACGATCTCACGGCCTCGCCTTCAGTCGCGGCGCCAGCAGTATCGGCTGCAGCGCGCTCGAGATCCTGCTCTGACGCTCGTCGGCCACCGAGCTCGAAAAAGGCCTGGATCTGATTTTCCCGTGCTCTTTCCCAGAATTCGATGTCCCTTTGGCGCCTCACCTCGGCAATAGCAGACTCATCCAGTTCGGAGGGGAGAGGAAGAGCCCAGTCGGGAAGACCACCCTGAACGATGGCATCGAAAGGCGTGTTACTCCGAGGCCACCATGAACTGACGCGCAAGAGCTTCACGAAGAACTTGCTGGCTTTGACTAGAGACGTGGCGTGAACATCGAGGGCGACGTCAAGCACTCTGCCAACATCGAGATCAAAGGTTCCAATAAGCCCCTTGATCTTCTCGAAAGCAGCCTCGGCCTCCCTTGTCGTGGGTGTGTCGTAGTCATCAACGCATGAAAATAGCTCGGTCACCAGTTTTGAGTAACCTTCCGACTCTTCTCTCAGCAGGTTGTAGTTGGCCTGCCGGTAAAGCATGTTGGTGGAGTGACGAATGGCCATCTTGCCAAAAACCTCCCGGATAAGGCCGAGTTTCTGAAGAAGAGGGGCATCCAGCACTTGGCGGATGAGCGTCGGCGATATGGCCGTCGCAATGAGGAAGTCCCGAAATTCTGGGATAAAAAGGTCGGGTTGGTTGTCCATGATGATGGTTATCGTGTCCAGCAAGAGCGTGTGTGGCTCGAACGAGTAAGAATCTTTAATAACCTCCTTCGTTTCCGGGCCGAGGATCTCTTTGACACAGGCGCCGGCATCAGTAGGGTTGAGGCGGTATTCGGCAACTGACTGCACGAATTCCTGGAAAAGGCTGGACAGCTCGGTGATGTCGACATCCTGTCTTGACTGCACGCCGTGTTCGATGAGAGCTTGCCTCGAACCGCTGTCCCAGGACGCAATCTTGTCATCGGTGAGAATCTCATAGGGGTAGTTGGATGAAATCGTTGCCGGGAGAGTCGCTGCTGGCGCAGGTGCGGCAGGAGGGGGCTGTTCCACAGGAGGAGCAGGCGGGGCGGCGGCAGCGGCTGGTGCTCGTGGCGTCTGGTGGCGAGAGGTCGTCGGTGAAGAAGCATATTGTTGTTGATGGTGGTAGGGAGCGCCTTGTCCAGCCTGGTTCTGCGTCGAGTCGCGACGATCGTTCCTCCTGCCGTTCCTGCCGCCACCACGGCCACCTCTTCCACCACCATCATGGCCATCTCGACCGCGTTGACCCATGGCGGTATCTGCAGGTCGGTGGGGCGAGGGTCGGTTGCCGTCGAAAGATTGATCGGGTCGCTTGCGCTTGGCGGGAGCCATTGTGAGGCTGCTCTGGCGATGGGCGGATCACGGGCTCATTGGTGAGAGGAGCAGATGCGTATGTGTACGTGTCGACAGCAGTTGCCGAGATGACTAGCCTGGCGATCAGTAAGGGGGGGCAGAGTCGAGAGACGCGCGACAAGACGACGGGTCCTCGTACAAGGTCAACAGATTATGACAGCATGCGATTGGGCTGCTGATATTGGTGTCGGTATGGGGATTGGCGAAATGGGTCGACAAAGAAAATCGGAGTGGAACGCGAAGCTTGACGGGGCGGTTTCGAAGCTCCGTTGGCGACCGAGTGTGGCGGAATAAAGGCACGGGTCGGCTGCCGCCTAGGTAGGTCGCAAAGAAGTCGTAGACGTCACACGACCAGCTGCACCAGATTGCTAAAAGGCAGCGGAAGGCAGGCGCGAGGTCAAGGTGATGGAGATCCTCGACGAACCTGAGGTGGAGGGAGGTTGTGATGTGGTCGTCGACACGATGGCTGCGAGGCAGTTGCGGTTGGGGTCCGCCTAAGAAATCCATTCGTCGCGCAGAGCAAGAGCAAGAGCCAGAGCAGGAGCAAGCAAGGGCAGGTGGAGACCAAAAAGATAGGAGCCTGCCGAATGGCGAGGCTGAACTCAGTGGAGTGGATCTCAAGGTTCCAGGGACTTGACTTTTCGCTGGCCAGAGCACACTAACCAAGGTCCCCAAGACAGTCCCAAGGACGCAACTCCGGAAGACGGCTGTTTGCTGACTCATGTGTGCTGAGAACCAATAAGAGGCTCTCCCGTCTGGATTGCGTGATGACGCTATTCTGGCTCCATCAGTGTCAGCATCCTGATCAAGGCTGTGTTGCCAAATGACTCAACGTGACAGACTTGTAGTACATCGGAAGCACCTGGCATAGTTGAGGAAAGATCCGCCGGTTTTCGTCGACTTGGCTTTTTAGTCCGCATCGCAACACTGCATTGTTGGAAAGGCAGGGTCCCTTTCCACGATGGCGGTTCAAACTCAGGAGGCCGAGGACCGGCCACGATTCGGTCAGTATTCTCATGCTCGTGCTTTCACCCCTCACCTCACTGTATCAAGCATCCGTCCCACTCTTCACTCCTGATCTTACGGTCGTGGCGTGGAGTATAGTTTGAGAAGACCAGTGACTGAATACTTCCAAGAAAGAACGCAAACACAGCCTGAGAACCCGTTCGCTGGTCTCATTCCCGAGCAGCAAATCGCCATCATCCCCTCCTTCACACTCGAGTCTGGGGTGACGCTCTACAATGTCCCCGTGGCGTACACAACGAGGGGAACGCTCAATCCCAACGGGGACAATGCCATGGTCATCTGCCATGCCCTGACGGGAAGCGCAGATGTCAGCGACTGGTGGGGTCCTCTGCTCGGCGGCCCAGGGAGGTCCTTCGACACGTCGAGATTCTTCGTCGTCTGCATGAACAGCCTCGGCAGCCCATATGGCACAGCAAGTCCTGTCACGGCAAAGGATGGTGATCCGTCCAAGGGCCGATATGGCCCTGAATTCCCCCTGACCACCATCAGGGACGATGTCAAGTGAGAATTTGCCCGCCACCTCCGAGAAAAAGTCGCACGCGATATCATGTGTCTACGAGAGGGTGTCTCTAACAGTGCGGCAGTCTTCACAGGCTCCTCCTTGATGAACTTGGCGTCAAGCAAGTAGCAGCTGTCATTGGTGGTTCTCTCGGCGGTATGTTCGTCCTCGAATGGGCTTACTTTGGCAAGGACTACATCCGCTGCATTGTCCCCATCGCCACCTCCAGTCGACACAGTGCCTGGGGCATCAGCTGGGGCGAGGCTCAGCGCCAGAGCATCTACGCCGATCCCAAGTATGAGGATGGCTACTACACCTTCGAGGACCCCCCGGCTGCCGGTCTTGGTGCCGCTCGCATGTCGGCCCTCCTGACCTACCGCAGCCGCAACTCGTTTGAGTCGCGCTTCGGCCGTAATACCCCCGACCCTTCAAAAAGGCAGGTCATTCGCGAGAGGCCCCGGCCCACGACCCCCTCGGGCGCCCACTTCCACATCCACAACGACGGCCACCGCGTCTCTCGCGCCGGCATGTCTCGCCACAACAGCGGCGGCAGCCAGGCGAGTATCGGCACGCCGGCCACCGTCGACGCCGCGTCCGTCCTGCCGACGCGGATCCGCAGTTCCACGGCCCCCAGACGAGAGCCTCACGCGGCGACAAACTGCAACGTCGACGTACTTCTCGGCCCAGTCCTACCTGCGCTACCAGGGCGGCAAGTTCGTCAAGAGGTTCGACAGCAATTGCTATATTGCCATGACGCGCAAGCTGGACACGCACGACGTCTCGCGAGGTCGCGCGGATTCTGTGGCCGAGGCGCTGGCCCTGATCGAGCAGCCCACCCTCGTTCTCGGCATTGAGAGCGACGGCCTCTTCACCTTTGCCGAGCAGGAGGAGATTTGCCGAGCACATCAAGCTCGGCAAGCTGGAGCGCATCGACAGTCCAGAAGGCCACGATGCTTTCCTGCTGCAGTTTGAGCAGGTCAACAAATACGTCCTCGCCTTTCTGAAAGAGGTCTTGCCGGATATCATGGACAAGGAGAGCCAGTCAGTCGAGGAGGAAGGCGTCGGCAAGATAACTAAGAGCAGTACGTTCGGCGAGGCAGAAGTCGAGGACATTACGGCATGGTAGGAGGGGAATGTAGATCCTGACCAATCATGTCGGTCGTGTATGAGATTATGATTTGCGCTGCTCAATGCAGCCTTTGTCCGCCCCTCAACTTCCAGCTATGATTTGCCCCGGATTCAACTTCCGGCGCGCTGGTGAGATGCGTTGGCCATAGAGCTGGCCTGGGCGGACCATGATGCTGTACAAAGTGAAGCAGCCATGAAAAATAGAAAGAAAAGAATGTAACAAGTTCCCCAGGATAGATGCCCTTGTGCCAAAAAGAAAACGGGTGACTGGTGCTGATGGTAGAAGACGTGGGTTCTGTATCTACCCATTCATGGATGCTTACACAAAATTATCATCCACAACATCAGCATAGTCTTTCCCATCCACTGGTTCATGATGTTAAGCTACCTAAGCACAACTGTCTAGAAGTAAGGGATTGACGGTGTAAGTAGACCCAGTAGTGGTGGCCTTGCCTTTACCTAGCCCCCAAATTCCAGCACAGCAGCTGCCTTCTTGTAGTTATCGACCTCGCGCACGAGCTGGTCTCGATGGTTTCGGGTGAGAAAATCCTCGCCAGCAACTGCGTTGAGCTTCTTGTCATCCAGCTCCGAGACCAGTTCAGGGGTGAAGATGTTCAGGGGGCCGTCCCCGACGTCAAGGAGGTAGTACAAGATGCTCTGTTGGCACACCACGTCCACAAACCGCTTGCGTGCTACCTTGTAATAGCTCTTCAGAATGTCATGAATATCCTCGTGAACCTGCAAAGAGTTTGACTTGTGCGTCGTGATCTGACTCAGCTGCGAAGGATCGATGGCCACCATGCGAATTTGACCGCCTCGCTCATCCCAAGAGGACTGTAAGACAGAGTGTGTTCTGATAGAGGCGGCAAGCCTGGCCGTGCGACATTTGTGTAGATTCTCGTTGAAGTAGTGATTCAACGTGTAGGGCGGGCCGTTTCGCTCGATGTCCAGGATGAACTGGGTATGCTTCATTGCGCGTTTGTATGAGTTGCACAACTTCTGTTGAAGGACCATGCTCATGAGATGGCCGCGCATGCTCTCGTCCGGACAAACCACCTTCAAAAGCTCAACGATGAAGTGATGTACAATACGGATGGCCTGGCTGGTGTAACGCAGAGCCAAAGGCTCCCATTTCTGCGACTGATGTCGGAAGGCTTCTGCTAGAGCGGAGCCGCCAGACTAATTGTGTTCATGTTAGCTATGGGTGCAACTTTATCGGTCACTGGGTTCTCGTCAACATACTGTTCCAAGTTCGGGTCCTCGGGAGGAGTCGTAGATCCTCGCAATTTGTTCCATCAAGGTAACTCGGGTGCTGGTAGGGGCCACCGGCAACTTCTCCTGCAAGATTTCTCGAAGTTCCTTGAATGGACCCTGAAACATGTCCATCATAGGTGAGTCTCTCACTTCTGATTCCTCATCTGATGATTCCTTATCTGATAATTCCTCATCTGATGAACCCTTATCTGCCCGTTTGTAAGCTTCCACCGTTGCGACGTCTTGGTCTTGAAACTCCAGGGTATGCCCAATGTCATTGCACTGCTTGCTGAACGCTTCATTTAGCTTGACAAGGTGGCTGATGAGCTTCAGGGACTGGTCATTAGCAAAGAGCTCCACTCCATTGTAGAGACCTTGGCGACCTCTCTGAGCAATACTTTGGAATGCGGTGCTGATCTGAGTAAGGCACCGCCTCTGGGCATTCGAACCATCCCTGGCCGGACCGAGCCTTTCGAGTCGAGCCTCCCTGTTGGCGAGGTTGTTCTTCACATCGAGAGCTACATTCTTAAACTCCTGCTTTGTGACGCTTCGTAAGAGATCCCTTAGCGCTGTCAAGAGAGCAGTGGTGCCGACTCTGCGAGTTGACTGAAGGTCTGCCCACGGCGGCGTAGAGAAGAAGACCTGCTCCGACTTCTGCTGAGCGGTCTTGTGACAGCTGCCAATATCGTCGGAACCACGGTTCTTCACAACGTAGTATCCTAAGCGCAGTGGATTTTTTCGGCCCTGGATCAAGTCGCAAATGGCTTGCTGCATGGCCTTTTCGGGGGCGAGATCAGGCTTGGTGAGGACGCCCAAGGTGCGTACTCCGTCCGGGTCAACCTCTTTGGCCATGGTCAAGACTTCTTGTGTTGCAATATCAACATTGCAAGGAATTACGGCAAGAATGATGGTACGCTGGTCCGTGATGTATTTCTTGACCATGTTCCTGACAAGGAGTATGTCGTTGTCGGTCGTCAGATTCTCGGTGGAGGTGCGGAAGATACCCGGAACATCGATGATAGTAAGATGTTGTTGCTGAGTTCACTCAATGTCAGTCCCTAACATGATCGAGAGATTGATAGCGTCCCGTGTGGGTTGGCTTACGGTAGGCCCGCTGATTACGATCTTGAGAATGTCCTCGGAGAAGGTTGTCAAGTCTGTCGAAGACGGTTCATCCCCGTCTCCGCGGATGCCCATGGCGTTGTTTGCCTCGACATGGAGTGAGTAAAATGAATGCATTTGAATGAGTATGGCAAGCAACTCACGTCGGCAAACACTTCGGCCAGAGCCAGATCTTCTGTGTTGATAGAGCGCCGAAAACCCCTGAGCTGTTCTGCGCGGCTCTCGCTGGAGTTTGGGTGTGGGATGATGGATACGTCAATACCTTCGGAGCCGTCACGACGAGAAGTGATCTGAGTCGCGTATCTGGTGCAGAGGCCAGCCGCACGCGGGAAGGCGAAGCCTGTCAAGCTCTCGAGCACGGAGCTCTTGCCAGATGACTGGTCACCTACCACGACAAGTTGAGGGAGAGAAACTTGGTCAGCAATACCACACTCTCGGAGCTTGTCGATGATGTTGACGTAAACCTCGTCACCGAGAATAGCAGGAGGTTCGTTCATCGTCAAGCTGCCCATTCTGGAGAGCGATAAGTGCGGGCGGTTGGGCTTGGGAGGGGACGATCGAAGCAGGTGAAGAAAGCAGGTGAAGAAAGCAGGTGAAGAAAGCAGGTGAAGAAAGCAGGTGAAGAAAGCAGGTGAAAGCGTTGGCGTCAGCTGGATTAAAAATGGAGTCTGTGTTGAGTTCAGTTTGGGCAACAGTACAGGAAGTCTGTCCTTTTATTATTTTTCTCGAACTTGCTTCACCGCATGCCTTGCGAGGCTGCCCACAGGCTGCAGGCTGCCTCTCGCGCCGTTTGATACATCAATGGCTTGGCTACCAACAGTCTTTCCAATAGATCCGTGACGACTATGTAGTGTTGAGCAGCCACATTCTGCGTATCATCGTGGTCATTGTCAGGACCACGACGGCGGCCTGTTTTCATGCCAGGGTCAAGAAATGGGCCAACAAGGCAGACTGCGAGCATGATGGACGGAGCGGCCGGAACAAATGT